TATAGAAGGTTACAATAGATTAAAAATTATAATTTTGTAATATGTAGGTAAAGTTTAAAAATTATATTTCATTTTATTAATTGTGATGGGTTGGTTGGTAGGGTAGGTATACCCAACCAGGGTGTCTACTGAATAGGCCGAAAAAAATTCCCGTACATTTCCCGTACATTTTTTAGTTTTCCCGTAACCCATTTTAAAAGTTTAAACAGATTATGATATTGTTAAAAAAAATTTCAAGATAACATACACAAATTACTACCTATACAAAGTTACACCGCGCATCAAATAATGCTATTATTGAAGATATTTTTGGTGCGGAAAATGTAAGTTTTTATAATCAGGTTTAGAGTTGGATTTTATTATTGGTTACATATAAATCCCTTGCAAAAACATAACGATAAATAAAGTAGTATTATTCATCGCACTGTGCAACTTCAGTTATTGGCTTTTTGTATTTAGTTAGATAATATTTATTCAATTTTTATCTCATAGTCATAATGACTAAGTCATTGGTGTACAGATCATAATACATGTTTTTCACATTTTCATATTACTTTAATTTTCGTTTTTTCTCATTAATTTCTTCAACAATCATGTTCCGTTTGCTATACAAAGCCACTTTTTCTTTCTCGAACTTCTCTGGCTATTTGTTTTCTTTTCTTCTTGAACTATCTCTGTTTCTTTCCTTTGCCGTTGCTCTTTGAGCATTTCAGTGTACCTGCTGTGGGAGTTTTGAAACGCGTGTACCATGGACTGATTGACCTCTGTTTTTAGAATACCACCACGTTCCATCACAGCATCATAAACGTGTCGTTGAGCAATCAAAGATGCGTCTTTTTAATTTTCCACGAGGCATTCTTTATTGACGGAAAATCCTCTTTTAACTGCCGCATTGCCATGTGATAATATGAGAATCATTTTCACAAAAATCTTCAAATTTTGGAATTCATCCATCGACCTATTTTCACCAGGGTTTTGACTCTGGTTTTGACGTTAAAAATAGGTACTTACATAGCCAACGGCAGATTTTGTATGTCAATTTCGCGAACAAAATGTTAAGAATCATTCAATCACCTTTTTTGCTACTTCAAATAGATAAAACTATCGTGACACGCTTTGCGATTGTCCCGAGTACGGACTTATCTGGAATTTCACAGGTCAACAAAAAAAATGATGAAAACAATATTGCCACGCCTGAATTGGCTGGGTAGTCAGGGCTGTTGGTATCATTGGCAAGTGGTTTGATTAAAGAAATATCCAGTGATTTAGTAACGTCGGCGTCCTACTTTTATGAACAAAGATGGCGTTTGAATCCGTACTCACAGATTTTCCCGCGTTTTAACAACGATTTAAATGTGAATAAAAGAGTAATATAAAAAATCGTTACTTTTTACAGCAAAACTAAGTGTTCAAATACCAAGTTTCTTGAAAAATTAAAACTATAGTTTATGACACAATTCCCGTACATTGCGAAAAATTCCCGTACAATTCCCGTACATTTCCCGTACACATCAAATTCCCGTACAATTCCCGCTTTTCCCGCTTTTCCCGCTTTTCCCGTACAGTAGACACCCTGCCAACCAACCGACCCAAGCCAACCGTGTTTGGATTTGGAACCAACTGCCAAGACTTTGGGGGGGTGACTCCCCCCCCCTACACCAGTGGCGGCTGGTGGATTTTAAGTATACCAATATCTCAGTTATTAGACATGGGACCCACACCAAATTTATAATAGTTTATATTGACATTAAATAAACAAGTTCGGCGCAAACAGAATTTAAATTGAAGTTTGCGAAAAAAAGTTAGTTTTTCCTGTCGCCTACCCTGCCTCCAGGCCCCCCTATTTGAGATAATTCAAATTAAAGTGGTGCAATTTATTATCTACTATAATTTATTGACAAATTTAAAATTTTATTCAAAAAATCCAAATATTACAGATTTTATTCGATTTTAAATTTTTATTATTTATTTTATTAAAATAAAAAAATATTTAAAATGGTATAAAAACTGTAATATTTGGATTTTTTAAATAAAATTTTAAATTTGTCGATAAATTATAGTAGATAATAAATTGCACCACTTTAATTTGAATTATCTCAAATAGGGGGGCCTGGAGGCAGGGTAGGCGACAGGAAAAACTAACTTTTTTTCGCAAACTTCAATTTAAATTCTGTTTGCGCCGAACTTGTTTATTTAATGTCAATATAAACTATTATAAATTTGGTGTGGGTCCCATGTCTAATAAGTGAGATATTGGTATACTTAAAATCCACCAGCCGCCACTGCCCTACACCCCCCTTAGGCCCGGCCCTGACTGTGATACAATGTATCTTAGAATAAGGCAGTATGTTTAAAATAACATATTTCTTAAATTACGTTTCAGAATCATCCCTTGAGTTTAGTGCTCATCATCCGGACGTCAATGTAATTAGCCGTTCTTTAGCTACTTTTCATGTTTTAAGTCATATGTACTCATAATGTACATAATATAATAAACGCCAATGCCAATGAATAAAACTTGAGAGTAAAAAGATATCAGACCATTGCAAATTTGACCTTCCGCTTTACCTGTTCAGGCAAAAGCGGACTGAAATACCAGTATCGGATGTCGAATTTCGATCTTGAATGGATAAACAAACGCAAATATTACCTTACGAGTTAAGTCGTAAATCAAGATTACAACAACCTTGTAGGTCGGCCAATAATTTAGTCACTTTAATTTTTCGAACATCTGCTACTACCATCATAATCATGGACAATGGCGTTCATTGAGTTTATGGGGGCGCATTAAAATAGTAACAATGGGTTTCCAACTTTCGATGCTTTAAAATAAAATAACAGAGTACCTATTTGTAATAGAATTGGCAACTATTCAGATTTAATTATTATAAAAATGTTAACTTCAAGGAAATATTTCCCCGTATTTCCCTCTACACTAATTTAGTAAAAATAAACAACCAATTTTAACTTTTATTTGCAAACACATTCTTGTTTAGACTAAGCCTTATCTATTGCCTACTTATAAATATTTCTAAGATAACTTTATCACAAAGTAAAACGCATTCAGAAATGATTTACGATTATTTTAATACATATACATTTTTAAATGTTTCTATAAACAAATATATATTAATTAAAACTGGTTTAAAATATTTTATTGCTATTCTATTTTTAACTATCTGTGAATAAAATTTCACTTTCATACATCTCTAAAAATAACACATTGTTAGCATAATAAATATTAAAGCTTAACATGTGTAAGCATCTCGAGCCAAAATTTGTTTTGTCAATAAGTTTAATTTGTTTTAGCGCGCAAAATAAGTGATATTTTTTTGGTTTTGAAAATACAGAATGTTGGATATTCTCTTATAACATTTAGCGACATTCAGGTTATTATATACCTATATAAAAATGTAACTAAGAGAAACTATGACAAAGTAAAAATAATCTTTTCTTAAACTTAAATGTCTACAAAGCTATAAAAAGGTAAAAATGTCTGTAATGTACCTTTACCTACATGTATGTAGGTATATTAGGGTCGATTAGGGTACCTACTTCAAAAAAAAAAATTTTTTTTTCGCTCTTACCCTCTCAAATGTTTCTATTTACCTAATATAAAAAAATCCTCACCAAATATGGGCGTTCCAGTTCAACTCTAAGAGGTCGCTGTTTTTATTTTAGTTTCCCATTTAATTAACATGGGAAAAAATAATTTTATTTTTGGAACGTTATACCTCTGTATCAAACTTAAGTTACTTATGGCAATAATCATTGCAGTTTCTTATATAAAATGTAACGCTCTACAAAAAAGGTCTCTTATTATTTTTCGATAAATTGATTTCTTTTAGAGTTACCTATTCGAGGTCAAAGTTTGATTAACATCAAATTTTGTGTTTTTTTTTAAATTTTATGGTACAAATAGCAGACAGGAGGTAAAAGGGGGCAAAACCAGGCAACTGGAGGGGGGGGAAAATGGGGTACCCAAAAAATGAGCATATGAAAAGTTTTCCAAATTTGTACCTTTTTCTCGCTCTACAGGCCCAGAATAATTATTTTCGATTAAAAGCGTGAACTTGTGAGTAAATATATTTTCAAATAGTAACCAAAAATAAACTACCAAAAAATTTTTTTTTCATTTTAGTACTGCCAAGATTTTTTCTATAAGTAAATGTCTTAATATGTAGACAAAAACGTAGTACTCGTCTATGTTAAAGTAATACTGCTGGTTTTATATAGGTATGTTTTACAAAATATTATGAAAAACATTATTGCCAGACGCATTCCAGGGGGCCTAACTTCCGCCAGACCCTTTAAAGTTCTAGAAAAAAGAGCTGAATATAGGTATGTTATATTAGTTCTCCTAAATTTTCTATATATTATTTGGATGATTATTTTAAGACCTTTTGTAAGCAGCCAGACCAATCCAAAGGGCCTAAACCCCCATATGTTTTAAAACTTATTATTATATTATTTGAGCGACTGTTTTAGGACCTTTTGTAAGCAGCCAGAGCAATCCGAAGTGACTAAACGAGGGCCTAACCCTCCAGACGTTTTAAAACTCGTAAAAAAACTTAGGTTCTCCCATTTCTTTCTCGAGTTTTTAAACTAGGGGGTAAGGTCTTTTGGATTGGACTGGCTGTTTACAAAAGGTCTTAAAATATTCACCCAAATATTATATAAAAAATTCAATTATATAATAAAAACCTGATTTTGCTTAACAGTTTAAAATGCCTATAGCGCCCGCAGGAGGTATTTTTGGACATGTTTATAAAAACTTTTTCTTTTAATTTTACATGTAGAATTACCCCTGAAATATATTGACGTTATTTCTGGACACCCTGTATGTTCCTATTCAAGGTACCATCACATAACTCTTCTGTGGGTACCATTCATTAATTCAATAACCTTGGTATTGCACTCTTTCCTTGATTAAAATTAAAAAATAATGTACATTTAAATTAAATTCTATTATCATCGAACACTAATTAGAATAAACTTACCATTTTGAAGTAAATTCGATGGCAAGCTGGTGGTAGGACACAGTAAACTGGAACTTGGCAGCCCTTTTATTTACCCTTTGGAGCCTTTTCCATACTGAGCCCATATTAGCATTCACACCACTAATGGGAACACAGGAATTCATTTTTAAGTCAGTTATAGTTTCTTTAGTAAAAAAAGCAATCGGCACATAGCACTATACATGCAAAATAAAACATTTTAAGCTACTGGCATGCATTGCGGTCACTCGGGGCATACATTATCAAAAATAATAAAAAACAGCATGCAGGATATAAATGACACTCTAATATAATAGCACTTGATAACAAAAAGGGTTTTTACTGTTTTTAATGTAAAGCTACAGTTTTACCCTAATATTTATGTCATAGCTTATACAGTAACATTACAAACAAATTTTTCAAACATAATAAAAACTCATTATTTTAAGAACTTTGACATTAAAACTATTAACCTTCAGTAAATCAATTTTGACACTTAGGTCACTGGAGAAATCTTTTAAAAAATTACGCACTAATAACAACTCTGCTACATAACGATTAAAGCGACAGTTAATTGCACTTTGTTTACTCAATAAATGTTTTGAATAGTTTATTATGACCGTACGCGCGATTATTATTCTTTGACGGAACGACATAAACTAATTTTCTTTCTCTACTGTCATCGTCAAATTTACCGGCAACACGAAAACCTGTAAATACACATTAACTTGCCGGAGAAACCTTTTTGACAGCTAAACTTGGTTACAGAGTTCTACACATATACTAAGTAAATACAACAACGTTTACTAGATGGCGCTAAGTATAATTTTTTATTTTGAAAAATTTAAAAAGTAAAATTTTATACCGAATTCCATCCAAAAATGTTAAGGAGTGATCAGGAATAGCACACTGAAATAAATAGTAAATATCAAAAATAAAAAATGGGGGTTTTCAGTTTTTGAAAAAATTCAGTTTGAAAATGCCATTCATGGAGCCTACACAAGGAGTCCGAACTTAATAGGGGAAATTGACAAAACCTGCCCTCTAAATTGCAAAAATTAAGTCTTTTTTTTTACCACCAGCGGCGCTGACCCAGGTTGTTAAGTTTGGGTTGGTTTGGTCCCAAGCAGCATTTTTGGTTCCAAAACCATTGGCAAAGTGGTGATAACTTTAAATTAGTTAAGTATACTAAACATCTACTTAAATTTTTACTTACAAGTAATTCTAACTTTTAAATAGCAATATTTTGTAACAGAAACTTAATTTTTCCCTAAATGGTTACTATAAAGTAATAAATATTTAAGTAAAACTTGGTTGCCCCCAAGAAGACTTTGCAACTTTAAAAAAGGTGTTATAAGTAAAAAAACTTTCAAGTAAATTTAATTTGTAGCAGTTACTTTCGGTTGCTACCGAAAGATTAAATTATAATTATTTTTACTTTGTAGTCCCTTTGCAAGTTAAAATCTCGAAACTGGAACATGAGTTAAAAACTACAAAGTTAATAACTTAAAAGTTATTATTTTAGTATTTGGAACGTTTATGGTACTAACCAAAACAACCGTAAAGTGGAAAAAAAGTTTAAAGTAGCGAAAACCACTTCAAAGGAAAATGCTTCTTATCGGCCATTTTTTACTGTACACTGAGAAAAAAATGGGACAAATAAACTGTTTACCTAATACTTTTATTTGTAGTGAATATATTGTTTATTACCTCTAAATAGTCGAAATAATAACGATAAATATACTTTAGTAAAACTTTATATGTCGGAAATAAAAATATATTTAGGATAAATAAACTGTACCCTTGTCCCATATTTAAATATTTTTTTTATTTGGGAGCAATAAACTTTTTTCTCCGTGTACAGTACCACGTGGTAATGTAAATAATAAATTATTTTAATTGTTTGTAAATGGTTGTTTACTTTTTAATAAATAGTAATTTTGTTGGTAATAGACGGTATTAATAATTAAATAAAAAAATTAATAATAAATATTAAGATTTTTTTATTTATAAACATTATTAAATAAATAATTTGTTTATACTTAAATATTGATGAAGCGCATTTATTTTACAAAAACTAAATTCATAAGTTCAACAGTAAAATTTAAAGGGTTCATAAATTTACCTGCCTAATTAAATATTATATTGTTATTCTGGAAGTTATAAACTACCAGTACATATTTAATAAACGACGACATTGAAAAGCCAAGTCCGTAGTGGTTCCATTTAAAAAAGGAGGGATAGTATAATCTATAGATTATAATATAAGTTTGACAAAGACAGTTAATATAGAAGTGAAAACAAATAAATAAAAGTAATTATAACGCTATAGCAACGATATTGGAACGTTCTAGTAACGTAGCAGCTACGTTCCAAATGGTAGCAGGGTTTGTAGCTAGTGACATATTTGTTACCTTTTTGGAACTCAATAATTGTTCCCCACTTTAGTCGTAACTTAGTAATAAAAGAGTAATATAAAGAGACCGGCGACTGTCGCAAAACACTTTAAAGTTTCTTCAATACCCTATTGAAAATGCCATATAGAACCATATAAAAACACGTATCTGGATTCTATATGGTTTCTATCTGGTTCAATATAGGTATTTGAAACAGGCATTTTACTATAGAACCAGATAGAAGATTACCCACACAGAACACGCTATCCAATGGATATCCAATGGCTATCCCAATGTCCATATAACATCCATGCCTTTTACGATATCCATTGGATATCCAATGGATATCCATACTAGATGTTCAAAAAAAAAACAAAAACATTAAAAATATTTTTTTCTTTTTTAAAATAGCCCCTTATAGGATAAATTTATGTAATGATTAATAAATATGATTTAAATCGTTATTAACCCAATTTCAACAAAGTATCTCTAATATATATCCAATGGATAACTAATGTATGTCCAAAGTATATCCACTGTACATCTAATGTATATCCACTGGATATCCACTGGATATCCGATGGATAACTGATATGGATATCTTGTATATATACTTGTATGTATACATGTGGGATTTTGTGATGGTTTAAACTAGCATATGTAAAAAAAACAACTTTACGGTAAATTGATTTTTTGCCAAGAGCTACGAAATTTTTAATTTTGAAATGTTCACTTTACCCAGATAATAATATTTATATATTAATAATATTATTTCTGTTAATAATATGACTATGACAGTCTGCAATACAATAAAAAATTACTTAAAAAAGTCCCTTTTGTTTATTATTGTATTTCATAGTACTACGCACGCGCTGAATTTGAGAATCTTCAGTGTTGCCCGTTATAAGCAAAATAACTAAACGAAATATATTTCCGTACTTTATTAAGTTTTAATAAATAAATTAAATAAATTTAAAATAATTATTCACCACATTTATGTCAAATAGGTATACTAGGTATACTAATTAATTAAGTATTAAAGATTTAATAATATAACCGCCATTTTGATGAGCTTTCTGAAATTATTTAAACGTCTGACAACACTGCTCAGCAGTGACTGCTGCCAAACACAGAAGATAAAGAAGCGTCCTTTTTCTATGGTAGCGTCCGTTAAATATGATGCCATGATTGTTAGGTACATCCAAAGGGTTTTCATGTTTATTTGCTTGAAGCAAATTGCTTCATTCCACAGATTGTAAAGGTTCATTCGCCATCATTGCTATTTGTTATATGTTTGTCATAAAGTTTATTGCCAAGTTATTGTGTTTTGTGGTTATTTGTTTGAGGTCTCTAGTGGTAAGTGAATATTTTATTAATTTTCTAATCATAGTTATCATTTTAAATTGTATTTGTCTAAAACTAATACAATTTTAAATTAAATAGGTATATTTAAGTGCAATTTATAAACTTTCGGTTAGCATTGAAGGTAAAACATTAAAGGTGAATACATGCATGCATTTATATACCGTACCTTTATTTGCAAGCTATACATCTCGAGGGTAACAAATGGGCTGATGGATTGGCCAAATTTTGGGAATCATAAGGAGACAGGTGAAATAGGCCCTAAATGATTAGGCTGATAAAAAGGCAAATGACAGCTGGAGGAGTGATGGCAAGCCAGAGACTTCACTTCTTTAGTTATATGTAGTTTTCTGTTCTATTTTATGTTTTCATAAAAATAAATATTTAAATTAAAGAATAAGACTTTTATTTTAAAACCCATGGGTATCCAATGGATAACCATTGGATATATAAATGTCCGACCCTCCTGGACATAGTGTGGATATCCAATGGATACCCAGTGGATATAGTATTGTATGCAATATGGTTGTCATCTGTATTGGATATGGTGAATCAATGGATATTTACTTTTCAATAAATAACATTGCAATGTTATTTATTGAAAAGTAAATATCCATTGATTCACCATATCCAATACAGATGACAACCATATTGCATACAATACTATATCCACTGGGTATCCATTGGATATCCACACTATGTCCAGGAGGGTCGGACATTTATATATCCAATGGTTATCCATTGGATATCCATACAATCTCCATATTGAATACAGATTACAACCATATTGCATACAATAATATATCCACTGGGTATCCATTGGATATCCACACTATGTCCAGGAGGGTCGGACATTTATATATCCAATGGTTATCCATTGGATATCCCGGATATCCTATGTATATCCTGGATATCCATAAAAGAAATCCATTGGATATCCATTGGATGTAATTGTTCCGTGTGGGTTACATTATAGAACCAGATAAAAACACTCTAAAACACTATAGAACCAGATAGGGAAACCTATCTGGAAATACATATAGAACAGAAACCAGATAAATCCATATACATCCATATACATGTCTTTATAAAGACATGTATATGGTTGTATATGGATTTATCTGGTTTCTGTTCTATATGTATTTCCAGATAGGTTTCCCTATATGGTTGAATATGAAAATTTTTAAAATGGAAATCCATATTCAACCATATAGAATCCGTAATGTAAACCAGGACTTTCCATATAGGACCTATAAAACCATATAGAACCAGATACGTTTCCTTATCGGATTCAATATGGGTTCTATATGGCATTTTCAATAGGGTAGTCCCATATACGTAACAAATACTTAAATTGTTGCTTGGGGTATGGCACAATGCAGCTTATGTTCTGTGCAATGCAGTGTACCTGCATAACCGGTTATATATGACAGTCTGCAATACAATAAAAAATTACTTAAAAAAGTCCCTTTTGTTTATTATTGTATTTCATAGTACTACGCACGCGCTGAATTTGAGAATCTTCAGTGTTGCCGGTTATAAGCAAAATAACTAAACGAAATATATTTCAGTACTTTATTAAGTTTTAATAAATAAATTAAATAAATTTAAAATAATTATTCACCACATTTATGTCAAATAGCCTATTTGACATAAATGTTTGAAATATATTTGAAATAGGTATACTAGGTATACTAATTAATTAAGTATTATTAAAGATTTAATAATATAACCGCCATTTTGATGAGCTTTCTGAAATTATTTAAACGTCTGACAACACTTCCGGCGAACACAGAAGATAAAGAAGCGTCCTTTTTCTATGGTAGCGTCCGTTAAATATGATGCCATGATTGTTAGGTACATGCAAAGGGTTTTCATGTTTATTTGCTTCATTCCACAGATTGTAAAGGTTCATTCGCCATCATT